TATTTTCTCATATCAGAGCTTCCTACAAATTGTGCTCACGCGATATAAATAAAATTACATCTTTTACATTTCAGATTAAAATATTTTCTGAACAGCTGTTTTCAAGTTCAAAAATTTTTTTCTCACAAAACTTGCGGTCTATATCTTTCCTCTGATAAAACAGGTGAATTCTATATTAATATACTGTACATGGTTGATTAACAGAATATCACATGTTTTTAGTTCGTCAGTAATAACTTCGTACAGCTGAGCTGCTGCTTACTCGTTCAGAGATGATCTCGTCACATCAGAAGAGACAACTTGTTTATCGAAAATTTACCTGTCAGTAAAATTACATAAGGAAGATTCCAATTCAAAACTCACGGCGTCTTTTTGAAGGACAGGAGCAACAAGCAAATCAGGTCCGAGTAGGTACTGGTATTGCTGTTCGTAGGCAATAGGGTCGTCTTCGTATTCGAAGAAAAGCGGTCTCATGACGGGATAACCTGATACGATGGACAATATTTCTCAAGTCACTGTCAAAATACATAAAGCCAAAATTCTATCCCGTTCATTAAAAACTAACCTTTGCTGAAACTGTCACTGAGAACCGCCTTTGTGTACGGGGACAAAGTGACGTACAGATTCACGAGCCGTGCGAACCCAGACAGAATCGCAGGATCCGAATAAATTTGCTCATTGGCTTCTGGACTGCTACCTAAATAAAATACATTTGCAAAAAATATATATTTCAAGGGAGTTTCTGCAGATTCCGGCGAGTCGCCAAAACATTTACACACGCAAGGCAGGTGGATAAATCCATTGGGGTCGATTTCCATCTATATTAATTTGCTGCTTATCAAAATTTTCTTCGCCTTTCCTTCGACTGATCACATCTCAGAATTTCGCTGAGTTCTTGGAAAAAAAATTGGATAACATTGAATTATGTAATCTCTATGAGGATGATCAGGGAAAACTTCCTTAAAAAATTCGCATCTTTGAGATATTTTCCCCCAGGAATCTTCCCACATTTGGCTGCTTTTCAAAAATTTTACGATATACTGTAATCTATAATTTGTTCCTGAAACAGCTGCAATCAGCGAGAAAAAGGATAAATTTCTTCGTGCACTACGAAAATTGCAAATGTAACGATTTCAGACCGACATTTTACACAAAAATAAAATAAACAGCTTCCCTGAGACTTTAATATTGTATTCAAGATTTCGAAAATTATTTCATTGATTCATGCGGCTTGTTTTCTTTGCAAAATGGAAGAATTTTTAACCAGTGTATACAGGTGATGTATTATTAGAGCAAAATCGAAATCTCAGTCAACTATACAATGACGATTTTTCGGTGATTCGCCAGGCTTCTATACGACGAGATGTCTCGCACATAGAATGCAGTAACAGAATCTCCTTAACAGATTAAAAAATTGACAAAAAAAAAACAAAATTGAAAAGAAATTCGGGTCTTCAACCTTCGTGGGTTCTCATGACCGGTGAAAACACGGCGTGTTCGGCCCAGCGCATCAGTAATTCGGTGTCCCTTTGCAAGGCGATGAAAAAGGAGGTGTAACCTCCGATGTCAGAATGGGTTCTGGTCAATCCACTGACGGCTCCCGACAATGCTAAAAATGTGTTTTTAAAAAATTAAAAATAATTTGTGAATGCTTGATTCTGATTGATTCGCATATTTACCTGCTGTTATCACTGACGGAAGACCATCAGCAGGCTCGTAATTGACGTTTTGGTCTCCAGCCCACATCATTTGCTGAAAGACGGATGATCCCAGTGTTCCGGATCTTTGGAACGTGAGCGAGTCGTGCAATTTTTCTCTGCTCATTAGGGCCTCACTGGAATTTCGGAAATTTAGATTTTTTCAGCCGGAAAAACTGAGATGTTAACAAATGAAATTCGAAAGAAAAGATGCCCTCTTATTAAAAAAAAAATGCACGGCTAGCTGAAATTTGAGTTCTGCTCCGCATGCAAGAATCACTTTGAAATACTGTGCTTAATTTCGGGGACTCATTGAATTCAAATTCAATCATCAATGTTACGCTTAGTTACTCGAAGAAAGCTATTCATTATTTAAAAATTTCAACTTCATGCTGTCACATGCGAAGGATTTTGTCAGCAAAAAGAAATAATGTTCGCTGATTTCATGAATGTAATGTCAGAATTCTCACGACCATAGTGCAATCAAAGGAAATACTTCCAAGCATTCCATACAGTATTGTTCATTTTCCAAGAATTTCCATTAATTGCACCTATATTCTGAGCAACTTCAACTGAGTTAAATCAAATTTCGGAGATCAGAAGAGGTTTCCATCAGAATTTGAATTTTGGAACTGAGGTTTATTTCAAGATCTCAGATAGCGGGCTCTTAGCCCGCTTACAAATTGAATCAATTCGCAAGTATCTCAAAATCGTAAATTGAACGGATCACTTCCGTCTTCTTCTCCATTTGTTCCTATAACAGCAAAAATTGGAACGCTGCTCTGGAAATTATAAATCGCATTGAGATCTGTAAAAAGTACGTTGAATCTCACCAATAAGGGCGAAAGACTGTCAACATTTATGAACACTATCTCGTGAATCCCCTTCAATTGAATGAGAAAAGAATACACACACACACACTTACAAGTTACACTTGGCCCAAATATCCGGGAAGATATTATGAAAAGTCTCAGCGTCCATCCCGAGATTATTCGCAGCATGCGTGGGAATGTACTCGGCAAAGTCCACCATCCAGCCAGAAATCC